TTCAAAAAAAAAAAAAAAAAAAAAATCAGTTAGAGTAGCAGTTACATTACGAGCCTAACTGCATTTCAACCAATAGGTATGCAGCACTTCTACTCCCTCTACCCCAGTTGCTTCCCTGAGGTTCATTTGCAGGTGTTGGGGAGGTAAAGAAAAGTTTGCTAAAAAGACACATTAGGGATAGGACCCGGCTCGGCTGACCCTTTGAAGCCATCTGTATTTTCAGGTGGTGTAAATCACTGTCAAGTGTTTGGGTTTTGTCTCTCCCTGATTGGCTTTAAAAGAAGAGAAAGAGCTTAATTAAGGGACAACGAGGTGAAATGGGGAGGAATGCGTGAAATAATTGGCGTGCTGGAAATCCCAAGTGTCTGGAATAAGTGGGCGGTTAGAGGATCAGTAGCAAAGAATAAAGCAGCTGAGAGCAGAAAAAAAAAAAAAAAAATCAGTTAGAGTAGCAGTTACATTACGAGCCTAACTGCATTTCAACCAATAGGTATGCAGCACTTCTACTCCCTCTACCCCAGTTGCTTCCCTGAGGTTCATTTGCAGGTGTTGGGGAGGTAAAGAAAAGTTTGCTAAAAAGACACATTAGGGATAGGACCCGGCTCGGCTGACCCTTTGAAGCCATCTGTATTTTCAGGTGGTGTAAATCACTGTCAAGTGTTTGGGTTTTGTCTCTCCCTGATTGGCTTTAAAAGAAGAGAAAGAGCTTAATTAAGGGACAACGAGGTGAAATAGGGAGGAATGCGTGAAATAATTGGCGTGCTGGAAATCCCAAGTGTCTGGGATAAGTGGGCGGTGAGAGGATCAGTAGCAAGGCGGAGGTTGTTGCGTAGTTGAGAAAGGAAAGAGTTAACGGTTTCCCCTCCCTCTCTTTACCTGGCGGGGCTACCCATCCCGTGGGACAAGAACAGCCTGCACCTGGATCCTTTTCTCCCTTTACTGTCTCCCCCGAGATGGCTGGGCACCTGAGAGTCATTTGGGCGGATCCAGCTGGCTTAACCCCCCACTATTTTTAGGGGCTCTCCGCCTTCTAGCTGTTTGTTTGTTTGCACCAGCCCCGGCACTGCTGCGCGCCTTTCAATGCACACCTGAGAGGCGACGCCTTCCAAAACGCTGCACCCTTTTGTGTGGCACAGCGGTGCCCTTGCAAGAGATGAGCGACGCCGCTGCGAGGAAAGCCGGGGAGCGGGTGGTGGTCCGTGCTACCGGCCTTTGCAAAATGGAATAAAATAAAATAATAAACGTCGCTTCAGATGCACTGGCCGCAGCGGGAAAAGATGTTGACAGAGCGACCCGTGCGGCACGAGCCAGGGGTGTGCGTCTCTTGCACGAGTGGAAAGGAGGTAGGGGAAATGTCCAGTGTGTGAGTGCAATGGAAATGCAGCGATCACGTTAATTCATCTCTACTGTGCTTACTACTGTTTACTTTCGTTTCCCTCCCCTGTCACGGTCGGAGCAGTATTTTCCTTCAGCGCCTTTCCCCCGCTAGCACACCAGCGGCCCCTCCCCCCCCTTTTGCGGAGGCATTCAAAATACAACCCTGAAAAATAGTCCTTCGGAAATGGGTGGCTCCTACCCACTCGCGACCCTCTACGCCCACTAGGGGCGGCGGCTGCAGGGGCCCCAGCCCGCTGACGGCGGGGCCCAGCCTACTTGATAAGCCCACAGCTTGGTCGGTGTGCGAG